CTCTTTCAATATATCCCAGCATTTCTTAAAGAAATCCATAGTAAATCCATCAGGGCCAGGTGCTTTGTCCCCCTCACATTTTTTGATGATCAGTAGCACTTCCTCCTCCGTAAATGGTCTTTGTAACCATTCGTTTTCTTCCGTAGACACTGTTGGGCACCCTACAAAATCAAAAGAGGGCCTCCAGGACTCAGTTTCTGAGTAGAGCTTGGCGTAGAAGTCTATCATGGCTTCTTTAACTTCTGTAGGTTCCTGTATCTCCACCCCTCGTACCACCAGTCTGTCAATTGTGTTGTATCTCCTATGGGCAGTTGCTTGTCTCTGAAAGAACCTAGTGTTTTTATCCCCTTGTTTCAACCATAGCACTCTAGACTTTTGTCTCCAGCTTGCTTCTTCTTGTTTGGCCAGCATTTCCAGCTCTACCAGAATTGTTGTTTTTATCACCATTTCCTCATCATTAAGTATTCTGTCGTTCTGGATTCTATCTAGCTCAGCTAATTCTTCTAGCAAACAATTTTTCCTGTGGGCTGCTTCAGAGAAGTTCTTCTTGCTCCAATCTTTTAACTTTTGTTTTAGCATCTTTAGTTTACTGCTAAGCTTATAATCAGGGCACCCTTCTACCTCAAAGTTGTTCCACCACCCCTGCACCATATCATTAAAGCCATCAACCTTGAGCCACCAATTTTCAAATTTGAAACATGGTTTTCGATGCTCCTAGTTACCACTTTCCAACATGACAGGATTGTGGTCTGACCCTATTCTTGGGAGGGTGCTTTGCTTGATGCTTTTTGAAAGTTTTTCCTCCCAACTCATAGAATATAAGAACCTATCCAACCTAGCAGCACTTGGATGGTTATCCCCCCCTGAACCAAGTGAACTTCCCTCCCGACAGATAAGGGTCATGCAACTCCAGTTCATCTATCCATCTGGAAAATTCATTCATGATGTTTGTAACTCTGCTGCACCCTCTTCTTTCCCCCATATGTCTTACAGTGTTGAAATCTCCCCCAGTGACCCAAGGTCCTCCGCATAGTTCCTTCATTGCAGCCATTTCTTCCCAACACTCTAACTTCTCTTTCCTGGTGTGTGGAGCATACACTCCAGTGAAGTACCAGGAAAAAGAATTTTGAGTTGATTCAAACTTGTAAGTGATTGAGTAGGTACCTTCCTCCACCTTAGTGCCAGTCCATACTCTACTATCCCACATAATAAGTATTCCCCCCTTACTCCCATCTGCCTCAATATATCCAAGCCTCATCCATCTACTAGACCAGAGCTGATAGGCAATCCCCTCAATCCCTTTGTTCACCTTGGTTTCCTGTAAACAAACTACATCCGCTTTCCATTTCTGCAAACAAGTCTTAACCAACTTCTTATTGGTGGTGTTGTTAAGACCCCTCACATTCCATGTGATCAACTTAATATTCATTTAAAAGTCAGGCTTAGAACCCTCCCCCTGCTTCTAGCACCTTCAACCTCTTTATTGAGACTAGATTGAAGCTTTTTCAATTCATTCTTGCCTATTCCCCTGCTCTTAGGGATGCTAATAGCTTTCCCCTGCTTCTTGTTGTCTATCTCTGTTTTCCTTTCATCAATTCTCATGAGTAGTGCAAGAGTCTCTTTCTCAAATCCTTCGAAAGCTACCCCATACGTGTTGCTCAACTCCAATATGTGTGAGTTAACCCAGCTTGGTGCCTCAATTTCAGCCAAATCTTCCTCTGACAGGTTTTGCATAGCCACTGGTTCAGCATCAAGAACTTGTTGCAATTGTAGTTCTCTCTGATTTAAATCTTTGGACGTATACCTTTCTTCCGAATGTCTGTCCTCATTGGTTAGTTTTGAGTTATGGGTTTTGCATGTGTGCATTTTCATCTGCTACTTTTTCTCCCACCATCTTCTCCTTCGTTATTTCCTCAGAGGACTTCTCCCATAGTTTGATTGCTTCCAGAAATTGAGAAGCTAGAGTCTTAACGGTTGAAAGCCCATTAATATCTCTCACTTGTTCCTCCCGTGATGTCTCATTTAAACCCACTAAATTTTAACTCTCATTGTCATGTCCCGTTTAACATTTTTACTACATTGAGACCTTTCTAAAATTTGTTGTGCTTTTTCTTCCCTTCCACTTTGCAATGTTCAACTTTTTCTGAATTAATTTCCTTTCTTTTTTTTTTGGTTTCCCACCCGATGTCCGGTACCCACATTGGAGCCCAACTAAATTCGGATTCACGCCGGGAAGTCCTACATTGGGGAGTAAAGCGCTCCCTAACAAAGGTGACTCTGTACCCAAGGGGGCTCAAACCCGAGACCTCTTGATTAAAGATGAAATTTTCCTTTCACTCATATGATATCTTTGAAATTAATATTTTTCTTCAAAAACAGTTTTGGAATCTTGGTCAAGCACAAATAGAACTCTAATATTAACAAAAAAAATAATCAAATTGATTAGTCAAACACAAATTATTAATATACAAAAATACTTTGATAAAAAGTAATTTTCATACTATCAAATTTTAGAAATTTAGTCAATCACACTATTAGTTTTATTATTTTAGCTTTTAAACATATTTATTAGTAGTACCTAATTTTTATTTTATATTATATTCTTCGTAAAATAATATAGAATTTTATAACCCTCAGGGGTTGGCCTGCTGGCAATTGACTTGAGCCTTGGGGTTTGCTCCCTTTCAAGGTCTCAAGTTCGAAACCCACTGGGTGCAAACAATTTCTGAGGGCCATCGGACTGGGTAAAACCTGAATTAACCGTGGTGCACTTGCGGGAAACTCCTTGCCGAGGGCCTGTGCACCCCCGGGATTAGTCGGGGCTCAAAGAGACTCGGACACCCGGTGCAAATCAAAAAAAAAAAAATAATATAGAATTTTACACATAATTTATGCAAATATTATTGATGAAACAATTAATAAAAACAATCAAATGTTAATTAATTATTAGTTCTCATCCCGAGTACAGTTGAAAGCAATGTGTATTAACTATTAAATAACTCCTAGTACAGAAGTTCAACTGCCCTAAGGAAAGCCATATAAAAAATGATTGCGCACTAACGAGAATCGAACACACGATCATGGACATATTTCTGAACCCCCAGACCACTGAGCTAAGATTCTTTGTTGTGCTAAGGGGGTTCATTTTGTTATATATAACCATAAATATCGAATCTGACCTTATAAGTACAGTGTAATTTTTCCAACGAGGGGTTTCGGGTGAACCCCTGCCGCCAAGGTAGATCCGCCCCTGATCCCCTGATGCATCTAGGAGAACAAGAGCCCAATGGATCTATGCATTTAGCCTCAAATGCATTTAGGCAGTCGCCCACAAATGCATTTGGACTTTCAGTTCTATAAATAGAGTAGTAAGATTGGGGGAGTAATCATAACAACTCTGAAGCTTCTGTCAACATTCTTTTATAGAACAATTTTCCTCTAATTAACAGGTACTTCAAAATGGCAGATCAACATTCATAACAGTGGAGATAAAAGGAGCTGATGAAAGTAATACCAGCATCAACCATGATGTTTCTTTTGTTTTACAAAAGAAATTTGGTAACAAAGAGAATGCCAGGATTTGTCACACAGATAAAATCAACATAATACTGTAATCTTGTGCAAACAAATTCCTGTATGGATCATACTTTTTCTTCTCCAATTTCATAATCTTTTATACTGCAATGGAACCTCTTGTTAAAATAACAAGATGGGGCATTAAGTATAAAAATAAGTTTGACGAGCTTGGATGTCAAGCAGTAGAAAGAAAAGAGTACCTTGTGGGGAAGACCACTGTGGAAAAGCTTTCCGGTTACATGAAGTTTCCACGGTATACTGCCACCAGTACCAATGCATGGTTGTTTATCTGCTGTGTCAATCCAGAATCTATATAGAGAAATCAACAATACAAATCAATTCACTATGTCTCTGCAATGAAACTTGATACCATAGCATACAGTTACTTACAGAGGGCCTTGCTTTAACTTATCAAGCAATCCATCCTTCACTAATGCATCGACACCAACCCCAGGGATAGATGAGTTCTCTTCACTGGCTATGAAAACAGCAACCACCGTGGATTTCAACTGTGGCTTTGTCTCTCCAAGACGCCTCATAAGCTCGGATACAAGAGCCACGTGACCTAAACAATCAGTAGTTCCACGTCCTCGAAGTTTATCACCATCGATGCTCAATGAAAAGGGATCAAATTCCTGAATACAGAATTGTTTTACCGTTATATGAGAGATCATTATCATTGCCGACTTATAAAGGAGCATAATTTACAAAAAATTTAACTTCTCAAATTTTAAACTTTGATGTTATGCTTTCTCTGCCAATCTACACTGCAGTCAAGATTCTAATACTTTCTTCCACCACTATAAGCATAATGCTTAAGCCAGATCACCACCAACAAACTCCCCTATTACGTATCCACTCAAACACCAACATATAAAAATAAAGCAAAGTAGCACAAACTTTACCACCCTAAGCAACAAAAAAAAAAAAAAAAAAAAAACAAAAA